AGAGGATCTCAGGGGAGCAAGTTCAGTGGGGGAGGGAGTGGAAGTGGGAGGGGCAGACATGTTCGTTCCTTCACCAGGTAAATTCACCTGGGCATTGACTGCAGACTTTTATGGCAGCAAATGGACCAGTCAGAATATTATATATACTGTCTCCATGGAAACATGGTAGGATGATGACGTCGCAATGACATACAGATGCTGTGTTAATGTTTTCTTTTGTTATTGTGAGTTGTATCCAAAGAATAAAGGTGATAGTAATTGAGTTTTCACTTGTGTTTTTAGCCAAATGAACTAATACAGATGACCACAATTACCTGTCACACAACAATTCCCCTAAGTACTTATTACTCGTCTGATGCTTTTTAAAAAATGAAAATGAAGTTTTTGCATGGCTAGAATTAAGTGTCAAAAGGTTCAGCTACACTACAGACCAAGATGGTGATTTGTAAAACATTATTTAGGAATTGTTTCTTTTATTAAATGAGTGACAGTGGTGATAAAGGATTTGTGAGGCAGAGAGGTGGATGAGTTGAACCTAAAATATAATCTCTTAATCATGTCCTACATGCCTTTGCCACTAACGTCATTCTGATGTTAAACATTATATTGTTAGTGATGCATATAGTTTTGATGGAATCTATTACAGCTGAAACACAAGGTTTTCACCACAAGTTGTGTTGTATAACATGGAAGCTCTGTCAGCTTTCTTCCCAATAATCTCTTTGTATGCTTTGTTTTTCTGTAGACCGACAAACCTAAAAACAATTTTCAACTTTTTACCTCAGCCTAGACATAAAAGGTATAGTTCAGAGCTTTTGCGTGACATTCAAAATTATTTGCAACATATAGCATAAGGTAATATATAGTTCATTTCACAGTGGAACAGATTTTTTTTTTCCAACTAATTTGCCCTCATTATTTCTCATCATTAAACCCCTGTGAGAAATTGCTGCCAAATACTTAAAAAATCGGTGTGGGTCTGCTCTTTTCAGATGACTGTCAGCTCCCGACTTTTCCTCTTGATGCAGTCTAGGGTTAGACTCCGAGTGCCACCCTTGCGTGCTCCCTCACCAAGCTGCGGTGATGAAGCCGACTCTGCTAGATTCACAGCCTGAGCTGAATGTAGCAATAGACTGGAGGCATGTAAAGATGCCTCTCTCTGCCTGTGTCTTGTTGACCTGCTGTGCAGTTCCCTTCTGAATATCTGCTGGTCTCTGGCCTGTAGGAGAGGATGGTGACTCCTGGTTGGCTGCAAGTCTCTGAGGAGCTCTAACAGTTCCCTCTTCTCCAGCTCTGCTTCTGCCAGCTCCTGTCTCCTCAGGCGCTCTGCTCCTAACAGGGCTCGCATGTCACACATCACACGAGACAACTGACCCTGCACAGAGAGGTAATTAATTAACATGCAGACTTTTCTTTGTTAACAGTGGTGAAAAGACAAGTTGTGTTGTTGAGTACATGTACAGGTTACCTTGAGCTCCTCTACCTCGTTCTTCAGCTGTGACTCTTTCTGCACCATGTGTCTCCTCTGTGAGTCCAACCGAGACTCCATCTCTTGTCTCACCTCCTCCACCTTGCACAACAACTCTGCCCTACCGTAAACATTAAATTAGATTCAATTTAGGATCTGCAAACTTAATACAAACTGCTAAGTTTCATGTCCCTTTGGGTGTGAAGAAATTTTCCTCACCATAGACGTACACACCTGAGCATTTCCACTTCGGTGCGCAGCTCTGCTACACAGTTATGTGGTGATTGATCAATAGAAAGAACACTATGACCACAGCCATTGGGACACTCTCTGCCACGGAAGTTACATTCTGACAGGTGAGCCTCCAAAACCCGCCTCTCTACCTGTACAGGACAACCTGAGAGAAAAGAGAGACAGTATGTTTTACAAAAAGGAAATTTGGTTGAAGGGGGTGGCACCAAAATATTGTTAAAGTAGAAGTTTCACTTGACATAAATATAACTCAAATCAGACTGATCAGTCTCGATGTATGAATTCACTATGGATATGCGCTAAGCAGTCTCAGATTTCCTTAAAAGGTTAAAATGTCTAATTTAATTGCAGGTGTAAATAGAAAATACTCCTGATTTTTGTAACATAATTCTTTCAAGGGAAAATCACAAATTATCTGCATTCTGTTTTGTGTAAGTAAAAGTAGAATGTCACTTCACAATGTAGAAAAACAATAGAAGGATAAGGGAAAACTGCACAATTACAGAATGAAGGAAATACTAAATATTTTCTGTCTGAACAAACGTTACATACCTCACCTGCCTCATCTTTGACCACTTTTCATGAACTTCTCACAGACCACACCAATCATAGATAATGACACAAATGTCAGGCTGAGTCTTGTGTAACCTTGCATATTGCTCTTAGTGTTTTTAGTAACACTGCAAAAAAAAAAAACCACACTGCATGCACACATTGTCACTATACCTACCACAGTGGTAACATATGTACTCTCCATCTGCCAATGACAGGTCACAGTCACATTGTGAGCACATGATCGCATGCTTGTATATATTGTATGCACAAACTTGTTTAAAATGCTCATTAAAGAATGATGGAACATTGACTCTGAATGCACTTCGTGTGAGCTGTCATTCCCATAGGTGCAGTAGTTTGTGAAGTAGCCATGACAACAAAAGAGCCACCTGTTGCTCCCACACCGAGGTGTCAAATTGCCTTTGTTTCATCCACAGTCACATGTGCATTCAAGGATAACAATTTAACTTTACAGTTACTATCAAAGAAAGGTAAAACATCACATTCGATGAACAGCTTTTCTGTCAATGTGAAGATTCATACCTGTGTTAGAGCAGGATATGAAGGCAAACTCACACTCATCTTCATGTGTGTGTAGGCTCTCCAGGGAGCTCACCACCTCACACCCCTGATCTGCATTTATACAACGGATCTGCAGATGGTTCAGGTCATTACGCATGTATCTGTTATCAAAGAGAAAAATACAGTACCATGAGACAATAGAGCAGTATACATGTATGACCCCACTGAAATAGTTTAAACTTAAAAATAAACTGTTGCAGTGAAATGAATAAAAGCCACAATATTCACAGACCTGTACAGTGGTTTAAGACTGCCCACATCCAGCGGCAGTCTGTCCTCAGGACAGGAGGGATGATTGACCAGCCAGCTGCTGATGCATGCGCTGCAGTAGGCATGTTCACAGGGCGCTTGAAGGGGGCGCTCCAACACGCCCCGACACACACAGCATAGAAGACCCTCATTCACATAGCCCACAAACCTGTCAATATCATAGCCCATCCTACAAACACACAGATTAAATTGATAAACTATTACAAAGGTTGGGAAGAACTTTAATCTTTCCACAGTGTTGGCTCACTTGTTTCTTCTTTCTTTTGTTGCCCCGTTCTGACAATATTATTCCTACCTGGCAAGTTAACTTTTACTTTATCCAATTCTTCTTCCTTCCTTCTGCTGGTTTCCACTTCACTGCTTCCTCCACAGATGACTTTCGTGCTTATCTTTCCTCATTCTCTCCTGACTTGTTGCTCCATCAAGGTGAGGGTCTCCTCTCATTGTAAAGCCCTCCCCGACATTTGAGAGTCTGTCTCTATGGAGAGGTGTCCCTGACAACAAAGATCCAGGATACAGGAAAGCAGCTGTTGGATCAGGCCAGATCAGAGAGACGGGCACAATTACAGGAAAAGAAACACTCAAACTCAGATACAAAGTCTGCAGTAGAAATATATCATGCTCACTGCCTTACCAGTGCCTTACTGCTGTCTTTCAACTATTTCAGTCTCTTAATGACACACTCTTCCCTAGCTTTGTCTTTCTGCCTCCCTCTCTAGATGGGGCATTAACATAGATTACACTCCCCCTCACCCCGATTAGATTACAGACTGCAGGACATCAGATGACATGTATTGTCAGAGCACAAAAATCAAACAGCACCCCAAATGCCTGGACTCTTACCACAAAAGGTAACCTCATCCTTTGCTCAAATAAATGTAGCACAACTCAATTACAGGGAAGGATATTGCATTTATCAGACATTTACTTAAAAGTTTGACAAATCTGCAAGGGGTACCTAAATTATACTACTTAAAGTATTGTACAGTTCCCGACTCCCTATTGTATTGTATTATTTGACTATTATTATTGATTATTAATTAATTAATGTTGAAACATACTATTCTTGGTGGGATCATTGTGAGGAGCAAATTTAAGCTATTGTGTAGCTTAATGTACTATATATTAATGTAGGCAATTACATGCTTTAGCCATAATAGCTTTTTAAAATCTTACTCTGCAAAGTAACTAGATATTATATATCAAACAAATGTAGTTGAGTAAAAAGTACACTATTTTCCTCTGAAGGATAAAGCTGGTTGACTTTCCACCAAAACTGTTCAGTTTGATGAGTTTAAATTCTTTCTTATTTCAAAAGATTTATATGAATTTATGATTTTTCTGTTACTTTATTAAAGGGGAGACGCCAATTCAGTTAATCTAGAAAGTAATAGCTGACAATAGCGAAAATCCATTGTGAAAGTAGATGGTAAACTGCTACGGCGTAAGAAACCAAACGCACCCAACTCGTTTAGACCACGCCCACTGTCATTACTCAACCAATTAGGTTCTTCCAACCATTCAGCGGGAGAAACAACACAATCGGAAGTTTAGAGACAAACTGGGTTTTGTTTACGAAGAAGAAGAAGAAGAAGAAGAAAAGGAAAAAAGAAAAAAAGAAATGTTTTGTTGGAAATGAGTGATATTTTGTGATCTTAAGTGTTGTCATCATATTTTTTAGTTCGTCAGGGTATGTATAACACGTAGTCCCTCATTAGCAGTCAGCCGAGTTTTGATCGTTTCGGCAGTATTAGCTAGTGTTTGTTGCTAAGTAGTTAGCTAGCTTACTATCCAGCCACAGTGATGCAACAGGTTAATGAAGCATGTTGTATTGATAACTTGTACTTAACTTGGAGTTGTCAGCTTTTCTTTCCATGTCAAAAAGATGAAGATGGTTCAGAGATGCTGAAAAAGGGTAGAAAGACACGATTAAATATATAAGAAGCCTGGGACTGAATGAGTTTCATTCGTTTTGTTTATATAAAATCCCTCGTTACAGTATGTTCCCGTTGCAGTGTTTATTTCGAGAAACGTGTCTCTGATAGTACATAATTAATTGTTGCTAGAGCATGAATTAAAACACAGAGATAGGTAGGGATAATCAACAAAGATAGTGAAAGCCATCAGTCTAGCATGTACAGTCACTCGCTGTACTTGAAAAGTTCCATTAGTTAATGGAGATTCAGAAAAATGTTATTCCTCATTTTGTTAGAGCCTATTAAACGTTCTCCGGGTGTTCCTGGGCCACTGAGTTAATATACTAATTACAGTGTGATCTAATTTGCTGTCATTATTACCTGTTATGTAGATTTTTTTTTTTGCTTTCTGTCTTGAGTGGACAGATTAAGAATGAGGCGCTCAGGAGCTCCCAGCCAGCTCTTGGGCAATGCAGTGAAAAAGTCCCGTTTTGTGCCTCCTGGAGCATCTTCAGGTCTACTACTAGCTGAAACCAAGCCCCTGAACCCTAAACTTGGTTTAGGCACTGTACTGGATAAGGTAAAACATTTCTCAGCATTTTGAACTCTCGGTATTCATTTATCCCCATTGTCCTCTTTCCGCATCTGACATTGTTTTAGGTTTCCTCAAATTAATATTTTTATCTTTTCCCTTCCTCTTATTTTGCAGGTCCAAAGAAGTTTAGTAGAACCAGCTCTGAGTAGAACAGAGAGTGATGTCCCGCCCAAATCTACCCAGCCTGCTCCAGCTTTGTCCAGGGCTCTGACTCGTGTTCTTGATGCAACAGAGAGTAAGGAAAATGAGGCTGAGACAGAATATCCTGACACTGACCCAGAACACTTTACAGAAGACAGCAGACCAGCAGGTAAGGCAAACATTTGTGACTGGGACTGGTATTTGGTACTATGGCCTCTTGTTGCCATGCATTTTAGCAAACTGTAGTCACTTTTTGTTTCATTATCAAAAGAGGGGTCTTCCTGGGTCTTCTTCCACGGAGCCCACTTTCATTCAGAAAGCTGTGTATTTTGCTACTGAACACTGTTGATACTGGAGGTCACCTTATATCTGTTTTGAAGCTTTCCTTGGTTCTTTTTCCAGCATTTGAACATTAGAGCTCTCCTTCTGTTCAATCTGGGACCAGCTTTCCTCTTGCAGCCAGGTTCAGGGAGGCTGGTTTCAAGCCCAGGAACCTTAATGCTTTTAGTCATGTTAGTAGCTGTGGTCCAAGGAACATCAGGTTTCTTGGTGATGGTCATGTAGCCTTGACTGTGCTTGTCAAGTATTTTCTTCCTTATCTCCTCAGACAACTCACTTTTTCTTTTTTCTTGTTTTGTACACAGTGATACCAAACATCACAATGTAATTAAATGGGCTGAATGAATAAGAGTGAAGATAGTCTGCTTGAAATATCACTACAGACCACATATTTATCACCACTCTAAAGGAGTATGAATATTTTTGTTTAAGACACTTTAGAAGAGCTTTGTAGAACAAATTAGACAGTCTCCCCTTTTCACTGCCTCTTTGTTTTATTCTATGCCAAACCACAGGCCTGCAGGTATGTGTGACAAAAGAACATTTAATTGCACCACTTTTTTGGAAAAACAGAACATTGTTCCAATTTGATGTAAGGGAACCAGCACTTTTAGTCATGTCTGTATGTGCCACTACCTCTTAGGTTGTAGTGGGAGTGAGCGGATTGCATATTTATAGCTGACACTGATTCAGTATTGATACTCAAGAAGTCATCCAGAAGCTAGAGAAAGGTCTAACAGATATCAGTCAAAAGCATCATATGTAAGACAAATGCCTGTATACACTGTTTATTGCTCCAGCTGCTCAATTAGAGCAACCAAGATCTGGGCACTTTCCACTTAGATCTTGCAAATTATGTCTATAACCTTTTTCAATTCCAATGTATTTCTTACTTTCTCATTTTAGAGTATTTACAATACATGTACATTTAAATTGCCCAAGAAATATGTAGGTAGGTAGGTAGGACTTTATTGATCCCATAATGGGGAAATTCCTGTGTTCCAGCAGCAATAGAGAGCAGCAACAAAACACCATAAGAACAAACACCACACACATATCTTGAGAAACAGATTCCAAAGTGCCTAAAACCAAACAGAATATAGTATTTGAGAGACAATCAAGAACAAGAATTATCCTCCCACAATTAATCCCTGAGAACAAGTCAAAATACCTAAGAACAAGACAAAATATAATATTCAAGAGATCAAGAAATCAAGGACAAGGATATTACTCCCATAATTCATCCCACAATGGGGGAAATGCCTGTATTTCAGCCATGAGGATCTCTGAAAAACAACAACAAAAAAATACCTAGAACAAGACAATATAAAGTATTTGAGAGAAACCAAGGACAAGATTTTACACGTGCATATTTACAATGCATTTTACCCCCAGGATCTGAGTATTGCACCTCAGTTGACTATTGCATAGTCCATAATTTCACCTAGCTTATCACTGCAGTGATGTTTTGTACAGTCTGATAGCTGTGGGGAGGAACGACCTATGGTAACGCTCCTTCTTGCACTGGGGAGGTAGCAGTCTTTTGCTGAAAGAACTGTTCAGAATACCTAAAATATGTATCTCTTCACCATGATCTTTATTAGCTACAGTGGTGTCCTCCTTTTGCGGTGATAAAGAGAGAATGTTACACTGTTAACAAATCTAGCAGCTTTGACATACCTCTATACATATTTGCTGCTGTACTAAATTTATTATGTGGTTGAGCCAATGTGAAGAATTCATTCAAAAAAATAGTTTTTGTCATGTGACTAAAAAACAGTGCAGCACAAAGGGACAGAGAGAAGGACAAATGTATAGCCTACTATAGATGCTGTGAGAGAATTGAACTGGGAATGTCAGCATTATATGGTCCTATAACAGGACCCCCAAATATTTACTTTTATATTGTAACAACTTAACTATTAAATGCATTATCACATGTAAAAAAAATAAAAAGTAAATGACTCAACAGGTTCTGGAAACCTGGAAAATTACTGCACATTGAGAAAAAATGCAAGGAATTCAGAGATGAGAATTAGATCCACGCCTACATACTGTATTTATTAAGTGACAGTAAGATCCTCTACACAATAATGCATAACGTTCATCAATCAAAAACAGTATCTGACGATTTACCAAGATTTTTACAAACGTGGCTGAATTCTCTTCCCGCATATCCGAATTAGATGCCATTTATTGAGAAACACCCGACTACTTGTTGGACGTATTGAATTCCTGGCTGTTCGGGTTTCGTTGCAAAATGTTTTTTCTCACAAACCCCGACAGTTTAAAGACAAAGCCACAATCCAGTTCTGTCCACGTTATTTTAATTCTCAAACATATAAACGTTATTTACACGGTCACAACAACACAGCATCCATGTTGCTTTGACTAGCTCTGATAATTGTGAAGTAGAGTGCTCCCTCATTGGTTACCAGACTTTAATACCAGTGTGACATTGAGAACAGCGGAGCGGAGCGACAGCTCTGTCACGTCGCAGTACTGTATCTGGCTGTCCAGTGTCTGAGGCTAATAATAACACGCAAACACACACTGAATGTTACACTAGGCGGGCGGAGGCTCAGTCACAGCAGGTCCAGCATTATGCAAATTGGCGGGGTAGTATAGCGAAGGCGCCGGGCGCATCAGGACTCTGCTCGGGATCAGTGAGCCGCCGCTCCCTTAGCCCGTGAGAGCAACTAGTGCCTCTGTTTTACACCCGGAAAACACGCGGTCCCGCACACAAGCTACCTTTATTTCTGCACAGTTTCCACACGCGTCTTGAACACGTGTTTTAATAACAGGAAGCGAGTTTGTAATACGCGTGTGAGATTTATTGGATACATCCACCGTGGACTGTACTACGGGCACGCGCAGCGCGCTCACAGCCCCTCCCCCACTCAGTTAGTTAAACCAGCGCTGCATCAAAGGGCTCTCACTTCTGGAAACTACAGTCCTGACAGCTAATAACGTGTAATGCACCTTTGACAGATTGCTTCCCCTATTTGTGCAAGACAGAGCCACGACACCCATCATTCTGTAATAATGTAGAGACAGTGTGGCTGTGCTCTGCTCTGTGCTTGGTTTGGGGTTTAGAGAGACCCAGCTATAAGTAGGTCGGGCTGGGCTTAAGCGGCTTAGCTACGTCAGCCTAAGCTGGGAGGAATTCATCCAAAGCCCTCCGCAGTAGGCGGGGGCCTAAACGAGGCTGGCCTAGTTAAGCCTGATTCTTATTGTGTGCTGCACAGCCTGTTTTTGTTGTGCAACGTAGCAGAGAGGGAAGCCAGGAGTAGTGTATGAATCCATGCACATATTAGACATAGCTTATGTCTGATTGAGAGAAAAAATATAAGAGAAGGTAAATGAAACATGTATGGGAGTTAGGCCAGTGTTAGCTTTATCACTGTGGACCAAAAGAAGCCAGCAGCAGGGACAAAAAAAAGCAGGTGGGAAGATTGAGGAGTCACAGTGCCATAGGCCTGATTTGGTCTGTGCAAATCCGCTATGATATAAGATGGCCTCCAGCTCTGTGTTTCTGTCTAGTATGGTGGGTAAAGCTCGCTCTTCCAACTTCACTCTCTCTGAGAAGCTGGACTTGTTGAAGCTGGTCCGTCCTCATATCCGCATCCTGGAGGAGCACACCAACAAGCATGCGGTCATTGTGGACAAAAACAAGTGCTGGGACACTGTGGCTGAGCAGTACAATGCCTTGGGAGGGGACAGACCTCTGCGCACTGCTCAGGGCCTCAGGACCCTCTACAAACGACTGAAGGAGTCCGCCAAGCAGGAAGTGATGCAGCGGAGACACGCCCAGCCAGAGTACAGAGCAAGCATCTCTGAGCCAACCAGGAGAATTATGGAGATGATCCCTCACCTGTTTCACCATGTGCCCATCCACGAAAAGGACCAGGCACTGCGCAGGTACAGTGAGATAAACCGCTACAAGCAGAGACACCTATTTTAGAACAGAACTAAAAGAACAACAGACAGGTGAGCAGATATCCTCTGCTCTAAAACAGTATGTTGTCATGATGCTGATTCAACTGATAGAGGAGGAGGGAGGGGAAGAGCTGGACTCGCCATTGCCAGGCCCAATCAGATTACACACACTACATCATCAGGCTCAACATGAAAATACTGTATGTATTACCATTCATTCCTTGCTGCTTGTGATTGTTAATTTTTAAGACAAATACATATGACAGATTGAACCCCAAAATAATGTTTTAATGGTGGCTCAAATATTCCAACACTTGCACTGGAGAGTTTGCAGAAGGCAACAAAGCATTTAATTATATAGACAAAGACAAATGGCTAAAACAGATTAAACCTCAAAATGATTTTTTTTCCTTTTGCTTAATCACTGTGCTGAGCAGGAAATACAAAATCATAAGCATTTATATAATTATGTGAATCCTTAGGTGAACATAATCAGTAAAGGATTGTTAATTTCTTTGGCAAATCAATAGAGTAGTCAACGAATCTTTAGATTTTAGTGTGTATTATCATTGACAAGATGCATATGTTCAATAAATGCTCTTTAAACACTTGTGACACTTAATACCCTTCTTTCCATTTGTAGATTAATATACAGCAAGCACAACTCTCCCGTCGAACATCCTGGCAGCAGTTCCTCTCTGGCTGCACTCCAGGATTACTCAGCAGCTGTACCAAGTGTCCCCCATGAGGTGGTCCAGCTGGACGCTGAAGAGGATGTAAAACCACCGCCAGATCTCCCCATCCTCTCCACACACACAGAACCAGGGCTGGACGGAGGCCAGGAGCAGGAAGGGGAGCAGGACTTGGGCAGCATTCACGATTATGAAGCATCTCTGTCACCCACCCCTTCCTCTGTTAACATCCCTCTTTCCACCTCCCCGCTGCCCTTACGCCACGATCTTTACCCCAATGACATCTACCCCCACCACGAGTCTGACAGGTTTCGCCCTCTGCACTTAGCCAAAGAGGAGCATGAGTTGGTGTTAGCCAATCACAGGAAAGTTGCCTTGTACCTGGAAGAGAAGCGGGAGGGTCTGAAGAGAAAACAGGAACTTGAAGAGGAACTTCTGAGAGCCAAGATCAAAGTGGAGAAATTGAAGGCTGCTCGCCTGAGACATGGACTCCCACATCCTCTGTAACAAATGTAAACATCATCTTTGGCTGGTATTCGAAAGGGAGACGCTCTTAGGAGTTTGTGGAGGAAAGCTGAGAAAGAAGTTGCTCATTAGTTTCATGTTTGGAAACGCAGTGCCTCGTACAGGTGCTGAAAGCCTGTTTGCATATTGCAGCATAAGGCTGACTTGTACTGCCATGAGTCTTTGCTCATGATTGTCAGTGTTAAAATTTTTGTACTCACAGAGGCAACAAAACCTGATAAACACTGACATTACTGACACTGACAGTCTGACCGTCCAGATTCTGGAAGGGAATATTTGTATTAGTGGCTGACATGAATCTTGCTGGAGCTTTTCCTGCCTAACCTGCCACCACTGTACGTTAGGATATCATTAGTGATCTTTATTATCCAAGATTATTAGAAACGTTATGGTTATGTAATGATATACTGCATCAACAGGAGTCTGCCCAGATCATATCAGGTTCATCCTTTGTAAAGCAAATGTCCACCTAATCTGGCAACCGTCGAACTCTGGTGGGATAAACTTAACAGACATACAGTGGGTACGGAAAGTATTCAGACCCCCTTAAATGTTCCACTCTTTGTTATATTGCAGCCATATGCTAAAATCATTTAAGTTCATTTTTTCCTCATTAATGTACACACAGCACCCCATATTGACAGAAAAACACAGAATTTTTGACATTTTTGCAGATTTATTAAAAAAGAAAAACTGAAATATCACATGGTCATAAGTATTCAGACCCTTTGCTGTGACACTCATATATTTAACTTAGGTGCTGTCCATTTCTTCTGATCATCCCAGAGATGGTTCTACACCTTCATTTGAGTCCAGCTGTGTTTGATTATACTGATTGGACGTGATTAGGAAAAGCCACACACCTGTCTATATAAGACCCTACAGCTCACACTGCATGTCAGAGCAAATGAGAATCATGAAGTCAAAGGAACTGCCTGAAGAGCTCACAGACAGAATTGTGGCAAGGCACAGATCTGGCCAAGGTTACAAAAAAAATGTCTGCTGCACTTAAGGTTCCTAAGAGCACAGTGGCCTCCATAATCCTTAAATGGAAGACGTTTGGGACGACCAGAACCCTTCCTAGAGCTGGCCGTCCGGCCAAACTGAGCTATCAGGGGAGAAGAGCCTTGGTGAGAGAGGTACAGAAGAACCCAAAGATGACTGTGGCTGAGCTCCAGAGATGCAGTCGGGAGATGGGAGAAAGTTGTAGAAAGTCAAAGAAAGTCAACCATCACTGCAGCCCTCCACCAGTCGGGGCTTTAGGGCAGAGTGAAGCATGGTGGTGGCAGTATCATGCTATGGGGGTGTTTTTCAGCTGCAGGGACAGGACGACTGGTTGCAATCGAGGGAAGGGTGAATGGGGCCAGGTACAGGGATATCCTGGACGAAAACCTTCTCCAGAGTGCTCAGGACCTCAGACTGGGCCGAAGGTTCACCTTCCAACAAGACAATGACCCTAAGCACACAGCTAAAATAACGAAGGAGTGGCTTTACAACAACTCCGTGACTGTTCTTGAATGGTCCAGCCAGAGCCCTGACTTAAACCCCATTGAGCATCTCTGGAGAGACCTGAAAATGGCTGTCCACCAACGTTGACCATCCAACCTGACAGAACTGGAGAGGATCTGCAAGGAGGAATGGCAGAGGATCCCCAAATGCAGGTGTGAAAAACTTGTTGCATCATTCCCAAAAAGACTCATGGCTGTATTAGCTCAAAAGGGTGCTTCTACTAAATACTGAGCAAAGGGTCTGAATACTTATGACCATGTGATATTTCAGTTTTATTTTTTAATAAATCTGCAAAAATGTCAAAAATTCTGTGTTTTTCTGTCAATATGGGGTGCTGTGTGTACATTAATGAGGAAAAAAAATGAACTTAAATGATTTTAGCATATGGCTGCAATATAACAAAGAGTGAAAAATTTAAGGGGGTCTGAATACTTTCCGTACCCACTGTATTATTCTAGCAGTTTTAGGTAACCGAGGTGTTTCTAAAAATGATGGTAGGTTATAAAGGATAATAATCAGGATAATCACCTTTATTTGGCTAAGTATATTACACACAAGGAATTTGTTTCCAGTACACAACCGAGGCAGCCATCTGTAGCGCCAACTCACCCAATGGCTCTAACCATCTGGGGCAACTTTGGGGTTCACTGTCTTGCCCAAGGACACTTTGGCACATGGACTTCAGGCACCGAGATTCAAACCTCCGACCCTCCGGTTGGGTGACCACTGCTCTACCCACTGCACCACAGTCGCCCCTGTGGGAAGTGAAGCTTTCCAATTCCTCACACTGTGATAGAAGTCCTCAGAGATGCCAAGATTGCAGTCAAATTTTCAAAGGCCTTAACATGTTTCACAGTTCACTGAGTTGAGGTGAAAATGTGATGAAAAGAAGGGCGCTATGGTTTGTGATGTTATTTAATATATAACGTATATGTAACATTGATTCCTATGTAAGTTGGTGTACAAGTGCTGTCAGTCTCTTTTACATTTTGTCCACATGTTCATTTATTTTTATTAAAAAGTAACATTAATAATGTACTGATCTTGTGTTATGTTTTAATTTCAGATGTGCTGAAGAACATTTCTTTGTAGGTTTAATTACTGATATGGGATTAATAGCAGTGGGTCACATAACCAAATGAAGTGACATTTACATTGTTGCATTTTGCTACTATTGCAACATCTTTGCGCACATGGAATATGTTTGTCGCATTTTCATTCTAACACGGGTTGAGCTGAGGGCACTCTGGGTTTCAGGTGTGTGAATGAGAGGACTGTCATCCTGGTTGAAGGTTTAGTACAATGTGTCAACTTGGTGCAATGGTGACCTCTGCTGGTGGGTGGTGTCCTGTATTTTAGTTTGCTGTGTTATTTTTTTCAACTGTGTTGTTGGTCTTTGTGTTACAGGAGTGCATGATTACCTTCCCTTGGCTCCAGGGTCTCCTCAAACCCCTCAGCCACCTGCAGGCTCCACCTGCAGTCAGGATGGAGTGCATTACTTCAGTGTTATGTGGTGTAAGGCCAGTAAGAAGAAGCACAAGCGCTGGGAGGGCGATGCAGTCCTGGTGACAAGAGGCCGCACTGTCACACTTAAAGACATGGAGGGAAAGGATATAGGAAAGGGTGAGGCTAAGATTATACAAGTATCTACAGTTCATGTTGCCTGCAACAGTTGAGCAGATCTTGACACCAGGCCTTTAAGAACAGTAGAAAATGTCTAGCATCACAATATCAAGTCTTCTCTGATTGTTTTCCTAAAATCAAAATTTTAATAATCTACTTGTGCTAAAGAAATGAATTGATTCACTAGGGAATATTATTAATATGTATTTTGGTAATAATGCATTAATCTATTTACATTGTCCCTCTGTTGTCCTCCTTGCTCTGCTGGTCTATCAAAACTACCACATTAATATAACCAATGAGACAAATAATAGAAATACATGCTGCTGTCGATATTTTGTCTACAGCTCTCAGTTTGTATGAATGTGGAAACAGGACTTGTGCATATGGAGAATAATCAGATTTCACTGTTTAGAACTTTAAAAAAAGCCTAAACCAACTCTACAGGGAAGATCTAAAATTGCATTCATACATTTAAAGCGATGTTAGATGAATAGTAGATAATTTCATGATGTTTGTTTATAGGTAGTGGCTACAAGGTGTCAGAGCTGGCTTCCCTGTCAGAGGGACAGACTCTGATGATTGGCGGGAAAGAAGTGGAAGTGATGGGGGTCATTTCCCCTGAGGACTTTGCCAGAGGACGCTGTTTTCAGGAGGTCCAAATAGAGAGAGAGGAACCACACACAAAGTCAGCTCTACTCCCTGCTCGTTGCTTGCCAACCAAACCTTTCTGCCCTCCGTCTCGGTTTAGAAGAGGAGAGCCTCCAGAACCTAAACCAGGGGGAAAACAAACCTGCAGACCTCAGCATGACCCACTGGCTCCAGGTATGTCAACCCAATCAGAAGCTTTGCTTATTAGAAGACATTTTATGAAGAATGAATAATTCTGGATGCTTGCCTGTACATATTCTGTTATCTATATTATATTATTAGTGCCAAAATGTATATGACAATCCCTTGTGACAACTAGTTAAAATAGCACAAATTCTTTATACATGTCGCAGCTTTTTGTCATAGTTTGATTAGATGCTAATTTATAAGTATTTGATATATATGTATTTGTTTTAGGTGCACTGGTGATGCCTCGTCCCTCTCCCAACCACCAGTGGACTAATAACATGTCAGGGCTTCCTGTGGTTGATGTTGTGGTTGACCCACACCTCACCACTCACCTGCGACCCCACCAGAGAGACGGCCTGCTCTTCCTCTATGAGTGCGTCATGGGCATGAGGTGACGGAGCAGTTCCTGTATCATTTGTAAAATGCTGCTTAAAAACTTCATAATAAATATGTTTTAGCCCCACAGCTGGAAAAGTAATTGCTGCTGCTATCAGGGTTCAGAGTGGATTAACTCATGTCGGATGTGTGTGTTTCAGAGCTGTGGGTCGCTATGGTGCCATCCTGGCTGATGAGATGGGTCTTGGGAAGACCCTCCAGAGCGTGGCACTGTGCTGGACGCTGCTCAAGCAGGGACCATACGGTGGGAAACCGGTTGCTAAGCGTGTACTTGTGGTTACACCTGGCAGTTTGGTGCAGAATTGGGGTGCAGAGTTCAACAAGTGGCTGGGACGTGAGAGGATCAGTGTTTTCACAGTGGATCAGGTGAAGTTCTTAATAAGGAATAGAGAAATCCTCATTAGATCAGAAGTTCCATGGTCGGCCTGATGTGGTGCTACACTGTCGCTCTAGAGATGCTCTTCCGTAGCTAACTCTACTCTTGACCTTATTACGGAGGTGGAAGACATTACTTTAGATCTGCCTTTCCTTAACGGAATAGTTCAATATATTGTAGGCTTATTTGGTTTTAGATCAATGAAGTGATGGAGTCCACTCTCATATTTGTCTGTTACATATGAAACTATAGCCAAGATGCTTTCAGTTTGACTGGAAACATGATGAAACAGCTAGCCTGCTTCTGCCCAAAGAAAAAAAATCTGCCTATGAACAAATCTAAAGCTCACAAATTAACATGTTATATCTCATTTGTTTTACCCTGTGTACAAATTGAATTAATCTGTGACTTTGTGGGGAGTTCAATGCTGTAATTGTTTCTTTATGACGTGTATAGGACCACAGGATAGAGCAGTTTGTGTTGTCCCCTCTGCACAGTGTTCTCGTGATCAGCTACGAAATGCTGCTGCGCTGCCTGGAACAGGTAGGTTTGCCTCGTGTTTCGTTGTCTTTTGAAACAGGCCTGAATGTTACAAGGGTATCGGCTGCTTTTAGATTTTTATTTTATTATATCGTTTTTCTTGTGTTCAGGTACAGAAAGTGGAGTTCGGCCTGGTAATTTGTGATGAGGGTCACAGATTAAAGAACAGCAGCATCAAAACGTCATCTGCCCTCAGCAGCCTCAGCTGTAATCGCAGAGTCATACTTACAGGTACAAGCTAATGCTGACATACAGAGGCTCTGACTGACAACTGCAACTTCTAGTAAAAGTTTTATAATAAGTTGTCTTCATGTTTTAAAGGTACCCCAGTACAGAATGACCTGCAGGAGTTTTATGCGATTATAGAATTTGTTAACCCAGGGATTTTGAACTCATCGACTGCTTATAGGAAAGTTTATGAGGAACCGATCCTCCGCTCCAGACAGCCGTCCTGCACAGAAGTAATGCTCCCTCTGGCCTTTGTTTTCTCCTTCCGATCTCTAATATAGAGAAACACCTCTGTCTGGCATTAAACCTGATCTCATATCTGTCTGTGTCAACAGGAGGAGAGAGTTTTGGGAGAAGAGCGAGCAGCTGAGCTCTCTCGCCTGACTGGTATGTTCATTCTGAGGCGGACACAGGAGATCATCAACCGTTACCTGCCACCACGTCTCGACTGGACATTATTCTGTAACCCATCCCCTCTGCAGCTCGAGCTGTACAAGCAGCTCCTGTGCCACCGAATCTTCAGAGCCTGCCTTCAGGGCTCCACACAAACGCATACACACCTGGCCTGCATCACTGCGCTGAAGAAGCTGTGTAACCACCCTGGTCTGCTCCACTCCACTGTCAAGGTTACGCTTTTTTTATTAGTCGCTGGGAAGGGAAACCTGCATCCTTCTAAAGTGGTAGTCTCACTGCATCACTGTTGGCATTAAATTCTGTGGTAGAAGAAATAACTCTGTATTCGTGTGTGTGTGTGTGCTTAGAGAGTTGGCTTAATCCAAGTCCTAACTGTGAGTTCTTGGTTCTTCTGGTTTCAGGAGAGAACAGATGGATCAGAAGAGAGTTTATTATATGAAGGTCTGGCAGAGCTCTTCCCAGAATCCTACTTTTCAGGTGGTTTTAACACTGCTGATTCTGGAAAGCTCCTGGTCCTGTCAGACCTGCTAACTGCCATTAGACAACTCAGCCCTTCAGATAGGTGAATATATGTGTGTATTTCTGGTATTTGTAGTTTTGTCTTTACAGTGATCTGCTGATTTGACGGTGTATCTGTGCCCTTGTAGGGTGATTGTAGTGTCCAACTACACTCAGACACTTGACTTGCTGCAGGACTTGTGCATACACATGGGCTACACCTTCTGTCGACTAGACGGACACACACCTACTGGCCAGAGACAACGACTGGTTGACAGTTTTAACAGCCCCTATTCTCAGAACTTCCTGTTTCTGCTGAGCTCTAAAGCTGGTGGGGTGGGACTTAATCTGATTGGTGCCTCTCACCTGGTGCTGTACGATATAGACTGGAACCCTGCAAATGACATTCAGGTATGATATGCACACATACACACATAGACATGCCAGCAAAGTTCAAAGTCTGTTTTTTTTTTTTTTTAACCTAGGTCACTTTTTTAAATCTTGCAAGCACACACTCAGAGAGCATTCACACCCAGCTGGTTTGCCCCTTTTCTTTTTGTTTTAGTCCGGAACAAATTAAACGAATTGCAGATGTTGAAACCCCTTATAATACCATCTATGCACTCATATACAAGCATGTCCTGCAGATGGCGCTGTGTATATGTGTGTCATTCTCCACTGCAACATTACCTTCTGTACTATGTCTAGGCCATGGCTCGAATATGGAGAGATGGACAGAAGAAGACTGTGCACATCTACCGCCTTCTCACTGCAGGTCAGAGCACGCAAACACACACAGTGAGCTAGAATCTTCAGCGTATCATGGATCAGGCTATTTTGAAGTTTTATGTCTGGTTGTGTATAACTTAGGCACCATTGAGGAGCGTATATTTCAGAGACAGGTGTCCAAACAGGGGCTTTCCGGCACTGTGGTGGACCTGGGAAAAAGGGCGGAGCACACCAGCTTTTCCACCAGTGAACTGCGAGACCTTT